CAAGTGCAAAGTCCTGACTTCCACTCTCAGTAACAAAAAGAAAAAAATAACGTTTTTACTAAACAACATTTGTTTTGATTTATTTTGTGTTTTTTGAGATAGGGTCTTCCTCTGCCCTCCACACTTTTCTTGAACTATGTAGCTCAGTCTGGCTTTGAACTCATGGCAATCCTACCTCAGCTTCCTAAGTGAGGGTCACAGGGGTACAGTACCATGCCTGGCACAAAATGGGTTTTGTTTTTTATAAAAAAAAACTTTGTACTAGCTCGACTCCCACCTATGTTTTGCTACCTATTGTTATTTCATATTACTTACTACAAATAGTATCTACTCTACTACAAAAAAAATCTATTCTGAAATTTTGTGTTTTTTTTGTTTTTTTTTTTTTTTTGGTTTTTCTCCAGTACCGGGAACCGAACTCACGAAGTTGCGCTTGCCAGGCAGGCGCTTTTGCCGCTGAGCTAAATCCCCAGCCCCTATTCTGAAATTTTGAACTTTAAAAACTTTTAACTCATAAAATATGCTTTTCATGCTATGAATTCAGATTCTATATATAATATCTGAGAGATGTTGATGTCAAAATTGAAACAAAAAGTAATGCCAGATTTTGAAGCAAATGCTATGCATGTTACATTGCTTCAGCTTTGCAAAAAATTGATATCTGATACTCAAAAATCGCTCTAGGAGAGGAAAATTGCTTAAGTCATTTTTTCTTCTTGAATACACAATGTAAATTAATCTTTCCATTTCCTCAATTCTTAAGATTAATTTGTGTTGTAAGAGTCTTAATAAAGTTCACTTAAAGTTTAACTCAATAAAACTAGCTTCTGAACACATCAATTTAGCCACAAACCTATTCCAGTCAATTTATGATTAAATTAAAAATCATCCAGGCAAGTTGTAATTACTTTCTGTCATCTACATTTCTCAAAAACAGAAGCATATACGTTTCCCACAATCTTGATATACTCCTCTCTGGGGATGTGTGTGTGTGTGTGTGTGTGTGTGTGCACATGTGCACACTCGCGTGCAAAATTAGAAGTTCTGCACAATTCTATTCAATTAGCAATATCCCTATACAAAAAATCTTTTAATATAGGCTCTAATGTAAAATCTATTATTTCATGTCATTAAGATGCAGTACAACAACAAAACCTGATTGGATTTTACTATTGTTATTCATCTTATGCTTAGGTGGATAAATAGGTAAGTTGTATGGATATAAAATATGCTTTAAAAAGCATATACAAGATGTCTTAGTACTTCCTACCACATAAATATTGAGGTTTTCCTTTTTTATTAAACCTAAACTTGTGGTGTTCATTTTTATAAGAAATGATAAAGAATGACTGTAGGAATACTGATTCGCCTCAGTTCTATTAAATACAATGAATATGGCATTTATTAAGATATCTTTTCTTTCCCCTTGATAATTTACTGAAGTGCTTCTTTAAAAAGCTGGTGAGATAACTGAACTGCCTACACCATGCTAAAAACACAAAATTCCCTGCTTCAGGGCTGCTAACACTGGAACTTCAAAGGAAGGATGTAAGCCCTCAGATGATTCTTGTAAAAGCTATGGTTTGAAAACCATTTTTCTACAATCATTATCCTCTAACTTAAACCACAGAGGATTAAGTGGATTTCAGAATAATTTTAAATTTTTACATTGTATACATTGCATTTTACATTGTTAGAATAGGGCATTAACACAAATATATATTTTTATAGCAATCTCAACCTTGCATTACACACAACTTTAGCAAGGCAGACTAGTAAGACTATAGAGTCATATGCTGTGGTTAAGAATTTCTAAGCAAAATGTGAGTACATTAATTAATAACAGAATTACATAGCATAACTGAGTGGCATAAAAGTCAATGCCAAAGTTAATGATATACCTGGAAATAAAGAATTTGGTACATTTTATACACTTAAAAAAGACACCAATCTTCATGTTTATCAGAGCACAGGTACATTAATTTAGTTAAAAAAAAAAAAATCCCCACACCTCATTTTACAGACAAACTCCTATGAGTTGGAACAAAAGACCTTCTATTATTAACATACCTAGCTATTACTTTGCAGCCAAACCAAAATAAAAAAAAAAAGAAAAAATCCTAAAACATCAATGTTAATACTAGAGGAAAACAAAACAAATCAATATTTCTGCCCAAAGGTGCACAAGTTAATCAAGAGAAATCATCAAACCAACCGAAACTGAGGGACTTTCTACAAAATAACTGTTCTGTACTGTTCAAAGTGGCAAAAGTCAGGAAAGGTGAAGAACAAAGCAAGGAACTTCTGGACAGTTAAAGAGATGACAAGAAAATGTTAATCCCTGAAGCCGGACTGGATCTTGATCTGGAACAGGTCCTTGTTCTTAGGAAATGCACTTATTTTGAAACCGTTCTCAAAATATTACAGAGAGAGAACGTTACAGCAATTGAGGAAAACTTCACAGGTGAGGAACTTAAGCTAAGGCTTTATAGTTCTTTCTAGCAGCATTTCTGTAAGTATAAAATTATTTCAAAGTAAAAGTGAGAAAAATATGTTAAAGCTATAGTTAGAACACTAAAAATCTAAACTCTTTGTATTCTTCAACTTCATATCTTGAACTACTAAAGGCTGAATATTTTATAAATGTAGACTAAAATTATGAGCAAATTTAATTTTTCTGAAATCTACAGGGGTCAACAACTTCATGTTTGAAATTATAAAACTGTGAGATTATTTTCCTATCAATTATGTATAATCCAGGTTTCTATGTATGTTAAAGGAAAACGCCTTTGCATTTCACATATGCATTCGAAAGGTATTCAAAATGTTGCCTTTTAGATTTTTCTTTTCATAATCACTTAATGATTTGTTTTCTCATCTGCTTAACTGTAATTGATTTTCTTTGAAAGCTGTCCTAAGTCAGAATATGGTCGTATTTTGCAGTACCCTGGTGTAAGCAACTCTGGCAGGTATTACCGACAAACTGTATTTTGATAAAACCCAGCTAGTTATTTTACAATGTTTATTAAGCACTCTAACCTGGTTATTGTGCCAGAGACACTGAGTAAGGTGGAGAGCTGTAACAGAGAAGGAAGATATTCATGCCGTACAAAGGCACTAGCTACACAGTAGGCACAAGAGAAATGCAGAACTTTTGTGGGGGGCGGGGATTACTGAAAGATTCTGTTATCACACTCTATCACTGAAAACGATGGGTAGCAGCATACTAATTAGATGTTTAAAATATTGAAACATCAAAATAACACTTCTGAAAATCTACAGATATCAAGCGACAAAGGCTTTTGATGGATATTTTTGCCCTTAATATTTACTGAAGTGCTTCTTTAAAAAGCTGGTGAGACAACTGAACTGCCTACACCATGCTAAAAACACAAAATTCCCTGTTTCAGGGTTACTAACGCTGCAACTTCAAAGGAAGGATGCAAGCCCTTTATCACTGGAAACCATGACTTTCTCATGTTTATTTTGACATGCATTTTTGGTAAGTTATAACTACCAGGGATATTGCTGTATTAATACCAAATTTATATATTGTAATCTGCCTATTCATATGTAATCTGGCGCATTCAGGGTGGTATGGCCCAATCAGAAACATTCAGCGTGGTATGGTCATAGAATGACCTGCCTATTCAAAGACTACATTAGGGAGAAAATAAAAGACAATGCATTCACAGCAAACAACACAAAGGAATTCAAATACTTTTTCTTTTTAAAATCAAATTACTTTGGCACTTTATTTTCTGCACAAGGGACAGTTTAGAATTGGCTGACTATAGAGATAACCATAATAAATCTAAGGTTTAACCTTGTCTTAAGTATATTAATGTAGGTCACCAAATAGATTGATGTGTTTTCATTTTTATTCATCACAATTCCCACTTCAAGGTCTTTCACAACTTTAGGGGAAAAAAAAAAAAAAGGTTTACAGCTGCTTGGAGGGAGTACAAGTTGAATTAAATCAAATTTTAGGAATAGCATTTAAAATACTTTTCACAAGACAGGTATTTAATAAAGTATGTGAATTTCATATACTACATTACCATAGGAGGGAAACTCCCTGAAAAATTCTTCCCTATAAAAGTTCAAGATGAAAGCTGCTCAGGTAGTATAAGAACAGAATGAACAGTTACAGTTTGAGACTCAGTAACCTAATATATATTGCTCTTCAAAATATTCAGCTGCAGAGAAAATATTAAAATGTAACGTAACAAAAGAAATAGCACCTTTGATGAAATTACTTAAAATAAGTGCAAAACTATTTGGAACGCCCAATGTCGTGATGAAAACAAACCATAAAGAAGACAATAACACACCATCAAGTGGTTTTGAAAAGTGTAATGTTACATGTGATTGTAAATGTAAACAATATGGAACATTTAAAGCAGAACTATACCTCGGTATCTACAGCAGGCAGAAGTTCTTTTGTTTTTTTTTTTTTCGTTACACGCTTATTCTCTCTCTAAACTTGGTCAGTAAATCAGCATACTTTAATGTAGGAGGGAAAATTTTCAAAGGACCTATTTAAAAATTAAAATTCAGGGTATCCTTTTATTAAACATGAGGACTGGAGCTTTCTTACAAGACTTTCTGCTATTCAATAGAATTCAGAATAAAATGAATCTGTTTCACATCAGATCTGGAAGCTTGTAGTTATGTAAATACCACAAGGGATTATCAGAACATGATTTTTATAAGCTAATTCCACAGTCTGGAGCAGACTTTCCCAAGCAGAGATTTCAGTACAATATTAAAATCAGACATCATATTTTTTTAAACAGTGGGAAAAAGTATACACTTACATTTTTTTCTAATTTCTTAAAAAATAAAAAATGGTTGCAAATGTTGCCTTTAAATAGTAAAAACAATTTTTCCAACTAATTTCAATGGTCTAGAAATATTTTCAGAGAATATTTTTCTGGGGCTGTGGGTATAGCTCAATGATGGAGCACTTGCCTAGCACATGTGAGGCCCTTTGGTTCTATTTCCAGAAAAAAAAAAAAAAAACACATTGTGACATCTTAAATATTTTTGGTTTATCCTGCTATTTTATAGTAAAAGTATTACTACAGCAAATTATTCACTTTCAAATATTGTTATTTATCATAAATCCTGGCTTATAATTTGAAAAATAGATTGTGGGTTTCAACATATCAGCAAGTTATTGTAATTTTCTATTTTCATCTATAAGTATCACATAAATATCACTGGCAGGTGTCACAATATTGTTATTAAATTAATTTCTAAACATTGATTTTAAAAGCCTTGAGCATATGTTGCCAAAAATTAACTGAAACTAACACAATTTTCCCCCCACATATTACATCCAATTATTTTCTAAATGATCGCGACCTACCCAAGAGTTGATAATAGTGGCACAGTTTTTATAAAAAAACAGACATGACACAATATGAAGACAAACATTGGTAAACACCATGTGTTTTGAATTATATTTTAAGAAACAATACGATCTGTGATCTTTCATGGAGTTTTTTATTCTTGTTATTAAAACTTGGACTCAAGTAATCCTGGTTATTCTGGAAAAAGCACCTTGTTTGTAGGGATCTTTAATCATCTTTTTCTACGATCACCTCTCCATGAAGCACCTTTCTTCTTTGACGTAACATGTGAAAATAGAGCTGTGGAAACACTTGATTGGAAAAAAAAGAAAACAAAAAAGATAAGCTATTGTTTTCAATTATTTACTCTTGAAAACTGATAAATGTGGCAAAGTTTGAGCGTATGTTCATGGTATGCCACTACCTCCTAAGATTTACAGAACTAAGGAAAGGCGTGCGAGTGGAGGTCCACACACCACATCCCTACCCACTGTAATGCCATAGCTGAAGTTTTATTTTTTAAGAAAATTTAGTATTCTGATAATTCTTAGTATTCTGATACCTTCAAAATGCCCTGGAAGTCATGTCTGAAATTGAATTTAGCAATGCTTTGAAATACTGTGTCAGAACCAAGGAAAGCAGGTCCCAAACTGCCTCTTTTCCTGTACATGTGTGGACATCCCAGCGCACACACCCAAGTTCATCCAACCCTTCACAAACAGTCACCCTGACCTCAGTGTTACACACACTGGTGACGTGCTTGGCACTCAGGGTAACAGAGGAGGGATTAGACCTGTGCAGGCTCAAGGCATGGTCCCAGGTTTGCAGAATGTGCTACAGAATGGGGAACTGTCTGGGGACCCTGGAAGAGCCAGAACAGGGTCCTCCAAACAGGCTCCTAAGGGCTGGGGATTTAGCTCAGTGGCACAGCACTTGCCTGGCAAGCGCAAGGTCATGAGTTCGATTCCTGGTACTGGAAAAAAACCAAAAACAAACAAACAAACAAAAAAAAAAACAGGCTCCTGAAGGCAGAGCTAAGAGAGGTCTGTTACAAACAAACACATAAATACACATGATCATAACTGGACAGACAGTCATCTGCCCAAATCTGGAGACCATTTTGAGCCAATCTGAATCAATGATTTCAATGACAGCATAAATGCTGGTCTCTAAACAAACTGATACCACCTATAAACATATAAATGTAAAAAATAGTAAACAGTAACCAAACCAATGAACCAGAACAAACTTTGACTATCTCACTTGGGCAACTTTGTCTAAAAATTTACTTTGAGAACTTAGTTTAGACAGAGCAGAGATGAACAGCAGTTATTTTTTAAATTTAGGTACCTCACACCTTGATCAATGTAACCATCATATTATACCTCTAACCTAAATATATCCAGTTCATATAATCTTAAAGCTAACTGGCCAGTTATTGTAAATACTTCCATAATAAACCTGAGTACAATAATAATCTTGATTATTATTATACTTCCATAATAATCCATATAGATCAACAGAAGATACGGGCTTAAGTTCAAATCTTGGTATCACCAGCTGGTTGATTTTTTATGCAATTCACTCAACCTGTCTCATCCAGAATGCTCTCACTGGTGAATGACAGACACCATTCCTTTTGAGTACAAAAATTACTCAAGAAGCACTTTTAATACTTATAATTAGCAAAGGATTTAATAAGCAAAGTAAACTTGTTTGCTGCTTCTGCTAATATCAAGAATGGAGTGAAAACACCTCCACCTTGCTGACTGGCCCTCTGAGAAGCAGGACTCTCAGTAAATTGGGGAAGTCACTGCTGGCACAAAGCAGAGTCTACACCTCCCATGATACCTAACGAACACAGACAGAAGATATTGGTTTAAACTATATGCAGTGATGCAGATCTCTCGCTGCTTTGGCGGCAGAGGCCAATTCAAAGCCAGCCCAAGCAACTCAGCAACACCCTGCCTCAAAATAAAATTTAAAAAGGGCTGGGAGTGCAGCTCAGTGGCAGAATGCTTGCCTAGCATATGTGAGGCCTTGGGTTTAATCCTGAGTGCCGCCAAAACAAAGTTACTGATTTGAAGCTTCAAACGACTATCTTTCGGGACCCAAGTATCTGTGCAGAGACCTCAGTAGTGACGAGGAAGATGAGAACCCAATGCCCACACCTGTAACTAGATAACAGATAGCTACGCAAGTCCTGGCTCGGCTCAGGGCCTGTTACCAGTAACCAGAGGCTGGGAAAAGCAGGGATAGTGACAAGCAGTGCATGTATACCCACCTCAGCAATCCTGAACTGGCTGAGTGGGGAACGGTGGAAGGTTGAAACGGTAGAACACAGAGTAGGGCAACTGCTTGACCACTACTTCCCTTTGGATTTTGGAAATGTGTCAAAGTTGCAGGCCTTCAGGGGCTGGTCAAGTGTCATGCACAGCCCCTTTAGATGAAAACTCTACATGGTGCCAATGGCAATGTTAGCCTCTAGAAACTTCTCTCCTTTTTCATCCCACTGACACTGAAGTCTCTAATTTATAGAGAAAGACATACAGGGCTATATAACAACCTCATTCTTCCTTGGTATAGCTTGCTAGTGACTATCAAATGTGACCTAATGACTATCAATTTAACCTCATTATTAGTACTGAATAAAGTGAGTCAAGTTTCACCAGTTCATTGCAACTACTGGATGAGATGATGAAAAATTAGTGAAGAGGCTGAATTATTAGAAATAGTTTAAGAAAAGCAGCTTCATTTTCTTCAGGTACACAGAGCAACACAAATAAAACGAAAATGCTCCTAGATGATTTTCCCAAGTATACTTAATGGATCGAAATGATGTGACATTTTCCCAAATATAATGTTGATATTCAGGCACTGAATTCTAAGTGCTTATAAACAGCACACTGAGGCATCCACACTTTTCAAATGATTTATTTTTCTTTCCCTTTAAAAAATTAACCATACTAAGCACATTAGAAATGCCTTTCAAAAAGTAATCGCTTGTGTGTTCATCTTTTACCGTTTTACTTATAGCCAGTAGAATGTCTCTGACTCACCCCCTCTTCAATTATTCTAAATCATGAATAAATGTGGGGTCGAACAGAAGTTTTAAAAGTATTTGTAAGCTATTATTTCAAATTATTTCTCCTAATAGGAACCCCTCTCCACTGCTGGTGGGAATGCAGACTGGTGAAACCACTGTGGAAATCAGTTTGGAGATTCCTCAGAAAACTAGGTCTAGAGGTCCCATTCAACCCAGCTATTCCCCTTCTGGGTATTTTCCCAGATGATCTGAAAACATCATATCACAGCAATATATGTGCACCCATGTTTATAGCAGCACAATTTGTAATAGCTAAATCGTGGAAGCAACACAAATGTCCATCCACCGAGGATTGGATAAAAAAATTGTGGCATTTTTATATAATGGAATACTACTCAGCTATAATGAAAGATAAACTCAAGGCTTTTATAGGTTAATAGTCACAACTAGAGACCATATTCATAAGTTAAATAAACCAGACCTGCATGTGTAAGCAACATATTGTCTCACTAGTGTAAGAACCTGAAAGAGTGAATAAAAATTAGGAGGTATGATAGGCATTGTGAAACGAAAGGAAACTGCTCAAAAGTAAAGAGAAACTGGATGAGAGAAAAGAGAAAAGAAGGGAAAACTATGTATATATGGATATACAGGATAGCTAACATAGTTGTACTACTGACTTCTATTGCTTTACTGAAAGGAACAGTTAATGATTAATTATTTGATCAATCTTGCATGTCTATATTTGCTTTCCTGAGTAACCACTTTGAAGTTATCAATATGTAATACAGCAACCATTGTTAATTTCCTGTCACCTTGTCTGTTATTCAGTATTGCTTGTATTGTTCTTGAGCTATTTTGTAAATGGATGTCTGTTGGTTAAAAAAATCAAATTATTTCTCCTTGATTATTGAACTAGCTTATTATACCTTTCCAAAAACTTCCATATATATTAAATCAATGTATTGATAAATATATACTTACACGGTATATATGAAGCCATGGTTATAAGAAGAAAATAGTAGTAGTCAAAAGAGACATTGTATTTGTTAGGAAGTCTTATTGAAAACATTCCTGTTTTCTTCACATATGGCAAGGCAGCGTATATTGTGAGAAGTTCACCAGCAACTCCAACGGGATATAAGATGATAAAAAAATTATATCTAGAGAAAGAAAAACCTCAGAGAATTATTTTTCTAGAATCATTATCAGATTTTACAGCATAATTCTTTCATTACTACTGTATTCAAACTTAGAAATTCTCCTTTCTGTGCATATTTACAATAACTTCACACAAGTAGGTTAATTTTTCTGCTTTAATTATTGGCTTAGGAACTACAGTATCAGCCTTCTAAATAAAATTTCCACTCTAAATGGCAGTATCTTTTTAATTATTCAACTTACTTTACAGTAGTGAAGTACTTTATACAATTTTTTAAAAAGCAAATGCAGGTTTTGTCTGTTTTGAGACAGAATCATGCTATGTTGCCCAGGTTGGTCTCAAACTCCTGGGCTCAAGCAATCCTCAAGAGTGTTGGGACTATGGATTTACTTTTTTAAGTACTGTAAAAGGAACTTCTTTGGCACATGGGATCATAACTATGTTTTGTTTTGGTTTTTTTTTGCAGTTAACCATTTATTAATCAAATGCTGTGCTTGCAAACACCAGCTTAAGATGTCAATTTTATACCTGAACCTTGCAACTACCAAAGTACAGTAGTTATTTTTAAAGGTATTTAGAAGACTTCAGGGCTACCAACTGAACATAATTACTACTGCAGAAAACTAATTCCATAAAACATCAGCAACTCATAATGAGTATGCTGTCCAAAGCTGCTTTCACGACAAAATCAGTAACATAAGGTTTAGATCTAAAATGTCCCCCAAAAGCCTCATATATCTCAGAGATGGGAGCTTTTGTAAGGTGACTGGATAATGGGGGATGTTATACTCACTAATGGATTAATTCACTGATGCATCTATAGCCAAATGTACTGTTAGGAGGTGGAGCCTGGTTGGGGGAAGAGGCCAGCAGGTGTATGACTCGCAAGAGCATATTGCTGTCCCTGCCCTCCTCATCGCTCTGCTTCCCTGCTGCCATAAAGTGATAACTATGTTCCATCATGCCCTCCCAGCATGCCGTTTTAGCACTGGAGTCAGCTAACCATGGACTGAACCCACTAAAACCATGAACCAAACTAAACCTCTCTTCCTTAAAGTTGCAGGTGTTGGCTATTTTGTCCCACCAATACGAAAGTGACTAAGGAATTTCAAAGGAATACAGAATTGGCTTGCTTAAAATAGACCTGAAAAAGTTCTTCCCCAAATTCCAAAAGACTATTTGTTCATTTGGATTGTGGCAAAGTCTCTAACACAAAGGCTAGCCTACTTATTCCTGGGTTCTACTGGTCTTCAACAGGAAAGCCTGAAAAATTCAAGATGATGATATTTCTCTATGAAAGAAAATCCTTTTTCTCTAAGCAACCAGATTCCTGGCTGCCACGGATATACAAAGACAAGAGATGGGAGAGAAGGGAAAAATTATTTACTAAAATAGGTTAATGAGTAAAGAAAGACGACCCCTTTACTGTACCTGTCATCCTCTTCTTGCCCTGATCATACATCTGCTTTCTTAGCAGTCCTGCAGTCATCATCGAAATCCATCTTTTTCTATCTCAATTTTTAAAATCACATTACTGAACATTTTCTATTCCCTTCTTAAAATACTCAAAATGATTTTGTTTTACTTTATGTGGTTCTCAAACAATTTCAGTATCATTATTCTTTAATAGAAAAAAATTATCGCTCCAAGAATATTACTCCTAGAAGAAAGCCTTAAAAAGAATGAACTTTTCTAATGAAATGGGAAGAAATTACATAATTTTCTTGACTTTACTTGCACTTAAAAAGATTACATATCACTATGTTCTCATGGAAATAGGGGAGATTTAACTACCTATAAACCACACTCAGAAAAAGATTTAATGCTTCCCAGAAGACTGTCAATTATTACCTAAAATTGTTTTTAAAGAAAATTCATTTTTGAAAATACAATGAGAATCAATATGAAAACATAACCCAATATATAATTATTCTGTGGACTTTTGCAAAAAATACTTTCAACACATAAATGCAAAGTACATTCAAATCCTGACAGTAAGTCAAACTATTTATAAATAAGAAGCCAGTTCCAATGTGAGGTTTTCAAAACAATAGCCTCTGCATTTGAATTTAAAAATGAAAATTATTTTAGACTACTTAATGAGGTTGGCAAATATATTCTGACAGTTGGAATTTTAAAGGTTTTTTGGACAAGAAATGTAATTATTCATGATTATCATTAACTAACATTATGCTAATACATGCATTTCAAACTTGACTTTATGTAACACCTTGTTTAACATCAAGGAAACTGACAAGTGTTTTCTAAACAGCACATTGAAACATGCAATGGCAGTTTTGTTCTTTTCTACAATTGAAAGACATGCAAATACATTCCAGAAGGGAGAGAGAAAGCTTTAAAGACTAATGTGCCTGACCTAAGGAAAAGCACAAGGTGCATCTGTTATCTTCATGTGAATTTTGTGAACGCTGCCTATGAAAAGAGACTGTGTCATGAGCTAACGTTTCTAAAGGCTCCAGAAGTCCAGAAGACTATCATGCAAAATGGTATTGCCGCGCATTCTGAGATTAAGCCCAACTACATTCAAAATTGCCAACTCTTCAAAAAGCCCAATAACCACTAGCAGTGAACATGTTTACATGCACAAGAATAAAACCAACCAAACGTATAAAATAATAATGCAACTTTATGACAGACAATATTACTGACGCTCAAATTATCATTTTAAAACATACTGTGATGTGTCAACTGTTCAGCCACAAACTCCTGAAACAGACCTAGAGGGTATTTGTAAAAGTCTGAGAGACTACATAACACAACAGAGGGATTGTAAGTAATTTTTAAATTTTTATTATTTATTTATTTGTATATTCTAATTTGTTATATTTGAACATATATAATACATGACCTATAAAAAAGGACTAACCGCTAGAGAAAAGTGTCAGGCTTTTAATCCATGAGGATCTGAAACAAGTCTGAAACTAGCTAAGAATTAAGAATGCATTGCCAAAAATATCAGAGTTTTTAAAAAAATAATAAATACATATATTCAATGCTACATAGATATGGCATTGTTTATACTGTCTCCAAGCGTTACTTATAATATTAGAAGGCTGGAAACAATCTAAATTCCAGCAATAGAGAACTGATTGGCTCATATTGTGGAATACTGCGCAGGCGAAGAGCTAGATCAAAATGTAACTGCACTAAAAAAACCAAACACTCCAAGATATACACAGAAAGCAAGTATAAGCTCAGCCTGTTTATGTTTTTACACATCTACATACGTGTTTTTACATTTGTGTTATGAAAATGCTAGATGAATAAACAGTTTCTTTCTCCGGGGCAAACTGTGTGTTACACAGAATAAATAGCTTTCTGTGTTTATTTTATATACATCTGCACTATCTGAACGTTTTAAAATGAAAATATATTACTTCTGTAGTTTATATTTTTTTATTTTAAAGATAAGAGAACCAAGACGTCTTAACAAACACACAGACATAAATAAAACTACATAAAAACAATACAGAATTTCAGACAAGGTGATAGGAAGTTAACAATGGCTGTTGTATTACATAATGTTATCTTCAAATTGGCTACTCATAACAGGCATGTAAGACTGATCAAACAAACATTAATTGTTGCTTTCACTACAGCAATAGAAATTAGTAGTACAATTATCTTAGCTATCTTGATATTCATATTTTTCCCTTCTTTCTTTCTTTTCTCTTTTCCCTCATCCCAGTCTTTCTTTCCTTTTGAGCAGTTTCTTTCCCTTTCACAATATTTATTGTACCTTTCACATTTTATTAACTCTTTCAGGTTCTTACACTAGGGAGACAATGTAATGTTCACACATGTGGGTCTGATTTATTTCACTTATGAGTATGGTCTCTAGTTGCATCCATTTACCTACAAAAGCCTTGAGTTTATCTTTCATTATAGCTGAATAATATTCCATTATATTAAAATACCACATTTTTTTTATCCATTTCACAGTTAATGGGCATTTGGGTTGTTTCCACGATTTAGTTATTACAAACTTTGCTTCTATAAACATGGGTGCACATATATCGCTGTGGTATGATGTTTTCAGTTCTTCTGGAAAAATACACACTAGGGGAATAGCTGGGTTGAATGGGACCTCTAATCTTAGTTTACTGAGGAATCTTCAGACTGATTTCCACAGTGGCTGCACCAGTCTACACTCCCACCAACAGTGGAGAAGGGTTCCTTTTCCCCATAGCCTTGCCAGTATTTGTTATTGTTTGATTTCTTGATGATAGTCATTCTTTCTGGGGTGAGATGGAATCTCAGTGTTGTCTTAATTTGCATTGCTCAAATGAATAATGATGTTGAACATTTTTTCATGTACATATTTGCCATTTGTATTTCTTCATCTGAGAAGTGTGCATTCATCTCAGATGCCCATATTTGTATTCAGTCTTTGAATCTGGGGGGCCTGATTATTTTAAATTCCTTATATATTCTAGATGGAAGTCCTTCGTGTAGTTTATATTCTTCAATAATTTTAAGAATGAAACTATTGCTTACCTCCTGTATCTTACTTATATGGAACTTACACCTTGCACTTACTACCACTAATACCTATTGGGGTTTTTAACTTTGCCAGACAGGCATCCTGAGGGGATGTAAATGCATGATACATTCACGACTGCATCTCAGTGGGCAAGTCTGCACCACTTGTCACTGCTACTTTGCTACTGTTCCTACAAGGACAATAAGAGGAGAACAAACAGGTCTATGCTGGGTTTGATTTCTTCTCCAAAAAAGTGGTTTTGGTGTGCACTGGTGGTACAGTGGTAGGCACAGCTGCCTTCCAAAAAGTAATTTTGCTTTTATAATAACTTGGTACCGTATGAGTTTCTCAAAGAATTCAATGTTTGAAAAGAATAGGCCATCTTTCACTTTAAAAATTATCGCATTGGGATAGAAATTTGGTCCACATTCCAAATAATACAATTTCAAGGATAAACTTTTTTTAAAAAAATGTCTGTCAGAGCTATTCATAGCAAAAAAGAAAGAAGATACTGCTAATCTAAGAAACTAAAAATTGTGAGTGCCTATTAAAATAATTTAAATCAATCAAATAAAGTAATATAATTTTGGCACAGTTTTTTAATATAATTCCAAAAACACGGTGTTTTCAAAGGAAAATAAATGACCGATCCTGAGGTCTCTTAAGAATATGATTTCAAGGAACAACTGGGATGGAGGAAAGGAGAAAAGAAAGCAGGGAGGAAAAAAAAAAAAATATATATATATATATATACACACACACACACATACACAAGATAGCTGGGGTAACTGTACCATTGATTTCTACTGGTTTGTTGAAAGAAACAGTTAATGCTTAATTGTTTGATCGATCCATGCCTGTCTGGTGATCTGAGCAACTACTTTGACAGTAACAATCTGCATTATAACAACTACTGTTAATTTCCTATCACCTTGTTTTGAAATTCTGTATCGTTTTTATTGCTTCTGTTTCATTTTTTTGTTTTGTTTTGTTTTGTTTTTTTCCAGTACTGGGAATCGAACTCATGACCTTGTGCTTGCCAAGCAGACACTGTGCCTCTGAGCTAAACCCCCAGCCCCTACTGTTTGGTTTCCGCCTTTCTGCTTTTTTCTTTTTTCTCTTCTTTTTAAAATTAAAAGAATAAAAGACTATGCTTTTCCTGCTATCGATATTACACAAAATGTATTCTAGTATGGTTCATCTCTGATGTTCATCAAATCCAGCTTTTAGAATACAAGCTGTGACACTACTAATATCCAAAACAAGAGCATTCTGGCATCGTGGAACTGCAACACGCATTTCAGTTCTTTTGCGTTAGCTCAGCACACAAAACCAGCATGCACAGGACAGTGACAGACTAAACTGCAAGACATCGCCACCTGGCCCATTTAATGAAGTACGGCAAGTGGTCGAGAAGGCTGAATGTGTAGAAGGAATAGCGAGTGATCTCAGTCACCGTCCACGAGACCAGAAAAAGCACCACACTCTCCTCATTCTGGACCTGCAGAATTACAGACAAATCCAACGCTGTTCAACCTTGAATTTCTGTTTCAGTTTACTATGGGTGGTAACCGCTTTAAATCTTTCTTGTCTTTTCTTATAATGGAATGCAGGTTAGACAAATGGGATTTGGAGAACTTGATGCAGTCACCATTAAATAATGAGTTACAAGCATCCAACTGACGTACTACGCTCAGAAGTGGTCAACTGTTCACTAGTCTCTCCCTCACCCTTCACTCAAGCCAGTAACCCCACCGCCCCTCTTAAAAAGCAGAACAAGAACAGTCTGTGCTGATAAGAAACTGCTGTGGTAGAAAAAGAAACCGGAGTATGAAGGACCAGAGCCTCTGATGGGGAGAGCAGAAGGATCCTTTCTTTCCTGGGAACGAGCCACTACCTGGCTTCTCCTTAACTTTGTCTCTCTAGTTATGCTGGCCACCCCATCACTGTCTTTCTTCTCTTTTATTCCTTTGAACTGGGACTCGAACTCAGGACCTCGCCGGGCAGGTGCGGTGCTGCTGAGCTATATCCCCGCCCCTCTTTTACTTTGCAGATTCCTCGTGGTCCTAGCCCAGCTATCATATTCCTTCACTCCCTGGCACAACCTCTCTTTTACTCTGTTAACACACTCCCGCTCTGAGAGTAGTAAGCCCTCTCCCTTAATAAAGACTGGGGCTCTCTGGAAGGCACAGGACCACTGCTGTCCTTACAGCGGTCTCTGATTAGGGACCAGGTGGATGGAGCAGGTTGAGTGAGAAGCACTCATCGAGAGGGCTAAGGTGGAGTAATAAAAGGGCAGAAGGTCAAAGGTCTGTCCCCACGGAGACCAGAGGCCGGCGAGGCTAGGAGGAAATGAGGCTGGCGTCAGATGTCAGTCCCCCGGCACACAGGAGACAGGAAAGGAACCTGCAGAATGGGAAGGAGGCCAGAGATCTGTCCCGGAGCAGACAGCAGACTACGAAGGCTGTCAAGAAGGTCGGGAGGGCTGAGCTAGGAATGTTTCCGACAGGGGCTTAAAGGGCCCAGTACGTATCTTGACAGAGTCAGCTTCGTCTAAAAGGCTTAAGCCACGAATCAGATCCAGCCGTTAGTCTCTCTCCCACCGTGTTTCCAGAAATAATACGTTTATTTGTTTCCCCAAGTTTCTCAATCCTAACTTTTTTAAAATTATTTTTTCATTGACAAATTAAAAGTATGTATATTTATAGTGAATGACGTGATTTCTTAAAATATGAAGGCACTGTGAACAGCTAAAGCCAATCAAGGTAGCACATGCATCATCTCCTGTGCTCACTGTTTATTCATGGTGAGGACTTAAAAGCTACTTTTCTTAGCAATTTTCAAGTACTGTGTACAAATATCTTATTAACCACAGTCACCATGTTGTCTGATGGATCTTTTGCCCTTGTTCCTCTTGAGATTTTTGTATCCTTTGGTAAAAAGACTCACTTTTAATTTAGTCTTTGTGGCAATGCTAAATGAGAAAAAAATAAATTGTGTGTACAGTGACACATTCAGTTATATGAAGAGAATAACTCTGGTGGAAAAGAAACTTCAACAGAAAACATTTCGGCTTGTTATTTGACAGATGTTACAATTTTAAAAAACAAAAATATCAGAGAAGAGCACAGTATGGGTATAAAATATCAATATTTGGTTTTGTTGTGTTTCAGTCACTCTACTACAGCACTAAGTCAGCGTACAATGATAACTTGATTCCTACGCAATTCCTTTGGGCCTAATCGTTCTGCTTCCTGAAATGTAAGAATGTTAGTACTTTAGATTCCTAATGATGAAAAGCCAGTCTACAAGCTCAAGTAGAAAACATAGCTGCATTCCTTACCGGTTTTATACTGTGAGTAACCAGCCACACCATAAAGATTCTTGAACTCACTTGGACCCCAGTCACAAGCACAGAAGTAGGTACAATTCCTTGAAGAGAAAAATAAGTCAACTACGGCCCTAATAGCAATTTAGAACAAAAAGATAAAATTCAAAGAAAAACTCACCAATTAAACAGTGGACTATCTGTAAGCAAATAATAAAAAAAAAAATCACAAGTCAGTAATTTAAAGCATACAAATAAGTCCCCGTCAACACTGCTAATAAACAAATCCATATGTGGTATGTAATGAGCAAAGTAAAACTGACACTGTCGCACAAAAACACTCCCAGAGAAGCATTATAGAAAAATAGCATCATGAAAAACTTACCTCAAGCAAGGCAAATGTTTGGAAAAATTTAAGTGTCTTCTGAATACTTTTATATAAACCTCTGTGTGTTCCTTTTTCCATGTAAAAACGTACCATGGCAATAGCTAGAACCAACCACCTAAAAAAACAAAAGTACTATGTGAAGTTCTATCAAAATTAATATTATCAATGTGTGCGTGGATGCTCAACGCAGTATTATTCATAACAGCTAAAAGGGGGAAGCAAACCAAGTGTCCATCAATGACTGATTGGATAAATGAAGTATGGTTTAAACACAGAGTGGAATATTACTCAGCCTTCCAAAGGAAAGGACTTGCTGTGGCATGGATAAACCTTGAAGACATTATACTCAGTAAAATATGCCAGGCAAAGGGACAATAACACACAACAATGTGGATGTATTAATATGCACAGTGTGAATGTATTAGTGCCACTGAACTACACATTTTAAAAAACTTGCTATGTGCATACTATTACCATTTTAAAAATAACACTGCACTTCCTGAAAAGAAATGCCACAATTTACATGGTTTTGCGAACATATAAGGGACCAACTACAGAGAGAATAATGGCCAGCACATTTTCAATTTCCACAAATCAACTGAAAGACTAAAAAAATTACTACCAAAAATAAGATTATGATACAGCATTTTAATAATATATAAATGTATCTTGGGATTAAAAAGCTTTCAAAAAAAGGAAGGAACAACTGAGATGAGGGAAAGAAGAAAAAAAGAAAGAAGGAAAGCAAAAAGCTTTCAAAAGCAGTGTTGTGTACACAGATATGTATTTTACACAAATACATAATATATCATATTGTGATGTACAAGTAGAAATCATCAATAAGAATCATCATTTACTATTTACATAATTTTTATTAAATAAAAACAATGGATGTACCATAGAAGGAATGCATATGGAGGATGACATAAGCCTGTTTCCAAAGAGTTTATTTTTTAAAAAGAAAAAATACATATAACCTTGCTTTTCAACTGAGAATCACATAGAGTATTATACATACATTCTGCTCCCGTGGACTACAAGTACTTAAAATATAAACTGTACTTGTGGAGAGCAGCCTTTTCCTACTTTTCATCCTTCGTGAAGTCACGAGATCATTTCTCCACAGTTCCCCTGACAATGACAAAAGTATGCTAAAGATTAAGAAAGTGGCCTCATTTGTAGCTTTTTGAAATGCTGAATAAACACATCCCTGGAAACGAGTAGCCCAGTCTTTAAGACCCAAGTGCCTAAGTGGATTTATGAAATACAAAATTATGGAGTCTTAACTTTATTTTATTTACTTATTTATTTATTTTGGTTTTTTTTTCCCATACTGGGAATCGAACTTACAACCTTCCGCTTGCCAGGCAGGCACTGTGCCACTGAGCTAAATCCCCAGCCCCTGGAGTCTTAACTTTAAACTAAACAATACTCTTTCATATCATGGACAAGTGATTGAAAAAAAATTCCTATCTTAAGGCGACAAAGATGCGAACTCCATAGCACAGTAAGGAAACAGCAGAATGGCACTTCTAGAACTTCTCCTCAGCACAGAGTGAGGTCAAAGCAATGACTTTCTTAGCAGGTATGACAAGTCAGGTAAACAAATGGCTGCCACTAGCAAAGACTTTAGAAATGCAGAAATATTCATGTTCACAACAATATTTTCAGATTGCTTGCTATGTTCTAGACACTTACAAATGAACTCATGTTACTCACAATAACCCTGAAGAAAGATTACTAGTATCCTATGTTACTGCTGGGGGGAAAGGGCACAGAGGGACAGCCAGCCAGCCAGCTGGGGCCTGGACCCAGCCCTGAGCTCGAAGTCTCTGCTCCTGAGGCATTATGCTGCCTTGGTCTGGTTCTAGGCAGATACTGTGCCCTGGGATACTGGCTGGCTAGAGTAACTCATACTTAAGGACGTACATTATAAAAGTTACATGGAGAGTGTGTGCGCAGGTAACTGCTCAAGTATGCTTTCAAAAGCGAAAAAGTCTGAAGGCCACTCCAAGGAAATCTAAAAATTAAGTTTCAGACCTAAGTTTCAGAGCCAGCGAATGACAAAGCTGAAATACAACCTCCGAGGTCTCTGAACTCAGCACCGTTCCCTTCTCACTATCCACAGCCTCACTGCATTCCACCTAGAGTTTCACCTCACGTGAGAGCCAAACGTGAATTTAGCGCTGGGTTAACCTCAGAGAGTTAATCTCAATAGTGCTGCAGACACCTTTCAGGCTTAAAGTTTATGATTCCATTATCCTTGAGTCCAAGGCCCTGTGCTTCCAATAACAACACCAAAAGCTTAATGTTTCATTCACATTTCCCATACATTTGTCTTTTTTTAAGGAAAACTCAGGTCTAAGAGATAAGTATATGAAGCAATTATTAACCTGCTAAAGAACTGATAAAGGATTAATTTAAAGGTCATTCTGTACAAACAATGCATTGTTTGTACAGAAGTCCATGTATTTATTATATTACAAGTTTTAGTGCTTTTCCATAGGTGGCAGTATTGTACCAAGTAGTACAGCATCACAGACCAATCACTACACTATTCAAAATAAATTAACACTCTGGAATTCAAAAGGAACACGGAACCATCTCTGTTTTCCAGTAAACAAAGCCAAAGCCTACTCTAACCACTTCCTAAAACCACTGTCACAGGGACAGAGAATCAAATAAGGCTCCTACATTTAATTAACTTTGGACTTTTTCCTACCATCAGGTTAGCAACTATAGTAAAACAACCAGAACATGATTGGGATTTCTGCCAATAGCAATTGTTTCCTGGGATATTCCATTCTGTTCTGTTCCATATTAACATACTCCACGGTGATTAGTTACATGAACCCCCAAACAAACAAAAAATGTGCTCTCTGTATAGAAAATTTCTTGCTTGCTTCACTCATTCATTCATTTATCAGTCAGGCTCAGCATTAATTGCTAAGCCAGGTATTAAGAGAGGAGCAATGAGAAATACATGCCATGACTTAGAAAATGCAGGAGACTTCCTCTCCTGCCTCCACAGTGACAGTGGCCGTGACCCTGACAAACCCTATTGCAGGGGCTCTTTTCTAGCTTGTCCTCCAGGGCTTCTTTTTCTTTGGAGATTAAATTCTTAGAAACTGCCATCTGTTCCTTGAAAAACGGTTATCTGCAATTCTATCTCCTTTTTTTATTTTTGGGCTTCTTTTTGTCTTTTTGAGACGGGGTCTCCCTATGCAGTTCAGGCTGGCCTTGAGCTCACTTTTGTAGCCCAGGCTGGTCTCGAATTTGCAACAGTACTCCTGCCTCAGCCTCCCGAGTGCTGGGATTGGGCTACCAAGCCCAGCTCCTTTAAAAACAAACAAACAAACAAACAAACAACTAACATTCCTTTTTATATTTTTATTGTGAGCAATTCTAAATATATACAAAGGTACAGAGAATGGTATAATGAACCCCCATGTACCCATAGCCAACTTCAACAATTATCACCTTAAGAATGATCTTGTTTCCAACAAACCTCTACTTCCTCCCTACCCCTAGTTATTTTCAATCAGAGACACGGCATCCTATAATGATTCATAAATGCTTCGTTATGTACTGCTAAAATACTTCAAGGAGCAAAACTATCATACCACTCACTATTCCACATACAAAATGACTTGTCAATATCAAAATATTGAGCCACAGTACAAATTTCTTCAACTATCTCCTAATTTTTTAAAATCATGATTGCAATAGGGTTCATACACTGTAATTAGTTGGTATGTTTTTCATGACTCTTTTAATCTAGAAGTTTTCCCTTCTTCCTTCCTTCTCTCTCTTTCTTTTGCAATTTGTCTGTTGAGTAGTAGGTAGTTGTTCTGTGGAATTATTCTTCACGTAAATTTTGCTAACTGGACACCCACATGTCATCTAGTACGTTCTGTCCCCTGTATTTCCTGTTAAGTGGAAGCCAGTTCTAGGGGTCTGATGAGATTCGTGTTTGATTTTCTGGCAAGGCTAACAAGTACATGTAAATTGTTCCGGTTACTTCTTCTACAAGGAAAATATGATTTCTGGCTACTCCTCTGTTTTGTAACGTTGGCAGTGAAAGATGTTTATTGCCTAGATTCACTATGCTAATAGTGTCTGAAAAATGATGATATTCTCATTTGTAATTTCTGCTTTAAAAGAGCCATTTGGAAGCTTTAACAAGAGAACAGTCTTCAACTTTCATCCAGCTGTACTTTTATACGTTGTTCATTAATACCCCTAAAGTGCCTTTCCTAGACTAAATTAACACTTTCTTTTGCAGCCCGTGTATACAAGTGTTTCAACTGACTGCACAAGCACACTCATGCCAATAAAGACTTAAGTGGAAAGGTTAGGACAAGAGAAGAACCTGATAACTTGGTCTTAGATTAAGACTAAGACCACATGACCTTTGAGAGACACTGTTAAGAAAATCAAAGCCAAGCCAAAACTGGGAGGAAATATTTGCAAATCCCCAAGTTGGCAAAGAACTTGTATCCAGACTACATAAAGAACCTTAAAACTCAATATCAGGATATCAAACCCATTAAGGGGAAAAAATGGGTAAGAGATTTGGACAGACACTATACCCAGGAAGACAGGCAAGCAGCAAATATGCACACAAAGAAGAGTGTCATCAGCTGGGAGGGAAATGAAAAAGAAAATCACAGTGGCACAACACAATATAGTTAGATGTCTAAAATTACCATGAGTAGCCACGGAGAACATTGCTAAGTGGGGGGAAGCCACTGAACTTCATGCATTGCCAAAGGGACTGCAAAAAAGGACCAACTGCTTGGGAAAACAGTTTGGGAGCTTTTAGGGAATCAAAAATTTGATTATTCTTCTATGATCCACTTGTAGGTACCTAATCAAGAAAAATAAAATCAAACCCCCATTCACAGACTGGTATATAAATGTTCAGTTTTATGTGTAATAGCCCAAACCTGGAAAGAATTCAAATGCTCATAAGCAGACATATGGATAAACAAGTTGAAATAGATCCATACAATTGGTATATCCTCCTCTGCAATAAAATGTATCTAAAAGACACAGCTGCTACTTAATTAACATTGTGGGAAATGAACTCTGGCTTCATTGTTTCATTACGTC